GGGGGGGTTATGGTGCAGGGTGCATTTCATGGGTGTGCAGGCCTGTAAGCAGCAGCATACATACCTCATGGAAGACGAGGTAGACGACAGTATGAGGTGGAAGAATGCAAATAAGAAAAGGGTAAAGAAGAAGAAGAAGAAGAAGAAGAAGAAGAAGAAGAAGAAGAAGAAGAAGAAGAAGAAGAAGAAGAAAGATAAAACAGATAAAGGGCAGACAATTTAACAGCAGCGGCTCAACACCCGATTCAAAGTTTCTTCAAGTCAAAGTTGTCAAACATCTGCAGCAGTTCCAGATCTCTCTCTCTCTCTCTCACTCTCTCTCTCTCTCTCTCCCTCTCTCTCCAAAATGCAGCGAAAGATGACAACGAAGAAGAAGAATGATGGCAGGAGGAAAAGAAGAAACAAGAAGACCAAGAACAAGAAACAAGAAGAAGAACCAAGGAGAACAGGAAGAACAAGAAAAAGAAAGAAGAAGGAGCCAAAGAAGAAGACGAAGAAGAAGAAGAAGAAGAAGAAGAAGAAGAAGACGAAGAAGACGAAGAAAAGAAGAAGATGAAGAAAAGAAGAAGATGAAGAAAAGAAGAAGACGAAGAAAAGAAGAAGAAGAACCAAAAAGAAAAAAGAAAACCTAAACTTACCGGTATGGGTATGGCGGTGATGGGGGGCGCGCGGCGTGGCTATGTCAGTGGCGAAGCCGAGGGCGGGCTCATGCGGGGGCAATGGTGGGCTGGCGGGGCTGGAGCTTGAAGTCGACGTCCGCTCGAATGAGCGCGACGTCGACCTCCTCGGCACGTAGCCCGTGCAGGCGGGGTCGCGGTGGGCGTGAGCACACGGGCTCGTTTCGAATGGCTACAGGCTGCGTTTCGAATTCGTAACGCAGCCGATGTCGACCGCCGATCTGCAGATCAGCGGCCAAAATCGGCCGCGTTTTTGAATTTGAAAATTGGGGCCTGTAGGACCCCGCATTTCAACAAAAGCGCGCGGTGGATCTCCACCACTGATCTCTGAAGATCAGTGGTGGAGATCCACCACGCGCTTTTGTCGAAATGCGGGGTCCTACAGGCCCCGATTTTTTTTTTGGGCGGTGGCCGCGGCCTCCCTGAGGCCGGGTGGGCACGGGGACACCTAAAAATCCCCGGTACCCCCCTCCCAGCGCAATGCGCTGGTTCGAACCGGGGGCCTGCCGGTCCAGTGGACCGGCCGGTCCGACCGGGCGGCTCCCGGTCCAAGGAGGCCCCCCCAGTCCATCCAGTGGACCAGCACTGGTTCCGACCCTAAAGCTCCCAGTCCACCAACCAAACAAATCGTCAGCTTTAAATTAACCCCTTTCTTTGTCTCCTTTCCTTGTTCACGTCTTGTTCTCAAATGCATTGTCATGTTGCCACCTGAAACTACCCCCATTCTTCTTCTTCTTCCTCTTCTTTTTTTCCAGCACATCTAGCAGTGCATGCACCATCATGTTGCCTGCTTGAAATCTCCACTCCCCTCTCTGCTGCTGCCTTACGGATCACATATCATGGTTCGAAGAAAATTGTTCTCCAAACATCCGTGTTAAGCAGGGCTGAACTGCCATAGCTAGTTGTGCAAAAAAAGAGGCAGAAGGAGGGCAAAGAAGAGAGTTCGTTGAGTGCCAACAGTGAGGGGGGTCATGGTATTTAACTGTTAGAAAGAGAAGCTGGCAATTATGTGCAGGTTGGCGATGACGGCAAGAGGGAGATGGAGATGATGTTGATTCTGTCTTGCGTTCTTCTTCTTCTTTCTTTCTTCTTTCTTCGTCTCTCCTGGTCTAAACCCACTTCTTCTTCGGTCGTGATGTAAGACAGTGCCTCAAAGTGGAGTGTTGCATCATGAATTGAGCAAGATCATAGCAATAACTTTCTCATAGTAATTGTTGGGAAACCATGCCCACTCACCAACTGACAGAAAATATGCCCTCCACCGGTTTCCATAGCTAACAGTTACATGCCAAACACTTGCACCCTGCATCAAGAATTGCCAATTCAAAGCTGTTTAAGTTCAGATCCTCAAAGAACCTCCTCACAGAAGAAGAGAGATCATTGAAAACTCAAGGTGACCACAAGGTGAATTTGCACCTTAAGACTGACTATTAACTAGTCTTAAGGAATCACGACAATAGAATGATGACCCAGGATGCAGACTCTTTTTTATTTTCACATGTTTTGGGTTGCAGGGCAGGAAAGGAGGCACAAATGGGGTTCAAAATTCAAATAGGGTTCATTCAAAAGGATTTTATTTGTCTCAGCGTCTGAGTCCCAGTTCTGCTCCCACACCATAGTCCCCGCCAGTAGGCCCAACCATACAAATAAGTTGTAAATTTGCCCATACTAGCAAGCCAGCTAGGTCCGATAGGTCAGCAAGTCGCTAGGCCCAGTCAATCACCTGTCAGTCCCAGTCCAAACTGCAGCTCAGTCCCCGGAAAGTCCAGTAACTTCCGATGGTGTGGAAGTCCAGCCTGGGCTAGCAATTCAGGGTACCGGCCAAAAACAGCGAAGATTGGGAACTGCAGCAAGTCTGCCGCGAAACCGCTGTGTGGTCTCGTGCGGTCAAGCGTTGAGTGAGACTGAGAGGCATGCTTAGAGGGTAGTCCATGGCACCAGGTGCCCATAGCTGTAGTGCTGGACAAGCAGAGAGTGACAAGGAAGACATTCAAAGAGGAAGAGAGAGAGAGAGAGGCCTGAGGTTGGAAAGACATGAGAGGGAGAGAGGGAGAGAGTTACCTTGTTGTAAGTGATGGCCATAGCTGCCAGTTTCCGAGACTTTGATCCACAAGACTTTCCGTTTTCAAAGAGTGTCCACTGTATTCTCATATTGTGTGGGATTGCATCTCGTGTGTGAAGCTTTCCATGTCGAAGTGTGAACTTGTGATGGTGTGAAAGGCAGTGTGAATTCATGAGAGATCATTGCAATTAGTATCACAGTTGACTCCTGTTGTATTCCTATAGGGCGCAAAGTGGAGAAGCCGGAAGCCGGCATCGTGAGTTGAGTTGCAGGTGAAACAATTGGCCTGGAGGTTTGACCAGCCGGTTAGGGTTGGTTGGCAAGGAAATAGGGTCGACTGAAAGAGAAGAGGTCAATGAAGGAGAAAGACATACAGGTGACTTGCACGGAACTAGTGAAGTGCGCGTGGACCATCATCAACCTGACGTGAAGTTCCTTTGTCAAACGTAGCCTTGCACGAATGTGTGTTATGATTTTGATGCTGGAATTGCTGGTCCTCTCGTGGTGACTCAAGCTGCTGCAGTCAATTTTTGTTTTTGTCAAAAAGTTTGGGTCTGAGGCTAGGAATTTTTGTAGACAGGTAGGTCTGACATCCTAGTCGTTGCGCGGCACGAGCAGCGGGCGCTCATTAAACAACCTGTCTAGCCCTGAGGATTGGTGCTGACCGGCATGCGGTTAACTTGAGGAGATGTAGACTGACAACCACCTGTCACTATCAGAAGCTGCAGTAGCTGCATTAGCCAGAGAGTGGGGGCTCTTGTAAAATAATCCTTCTATTGGTCCACGTGCCACCATACCAGCACGTGGTCCTCTGGAGACATAAGGACATATGACAAGGAGTTGACATTCAAGTCTTGAAGGTTAGCCTTGGTAGTACTGCCTGGCCACGTCGTCCTGCCACAGCATTAAACCACTAGTACCTTTGTCGTTTCGGCAAATAGCGGGCCTCCTAGCTTTCAGGAGGCCGAAACGAAACGACTGTCGCCGATTAGATTTATCAATGGTAGCCATCGTCGTGCCCGACCTCCGAATCCTTCGGAAACTGGCGTTTTCCCTCATTTCTGAAGCGGCAAAGGTACTGGTGGCTTAAAGATCGGCTGTTGGCCAGTACCAGGCATCTACCATAGCACTTTAGTGAGGAAGTAGTCTAGTCAACGGTTTTGGGTCAAGTGAAGGAGAACAAGTGAAGGAGAAGAAGCAGAAGCAGAAGAAGGAGAAGAAGCAGAAGCAGAAGCAGAAGAAGAAGAAGCAGAAGAAGAGGAAGAGGAAGAGGAAGAGGAAGAGGAAGAGGAAGAAGACGCGAAGAAGACGAGGAAGAAGAAGAGTGCGAGCTATAACCGAATTTGTATTATTAAAAAGATCATGAAATAATATAATCTCTATACATACTAAAGCAAACAAAGGGTCTCGCAACATGGTCGGTCGCGGGCCCAAGGGAAACCGTTTGGGACACAAAGCGTAGGCGGGGGGGCGCGGGGTTGAGGCCGACGGAGGCGAAACGGCGCAGAGGCGAACGCGGGGGCGCAAAGGGGCGGGAACAGGCCACTGGGAATTCGAAGGCGCGCAGGCCCAGGCGAAGCGGCGGAGGGGCGATGACGAATTTTTTTTGCACGCTGGCAGGAACCGGGTAAGCAGGCCAGCGGGGCAAAGCGGGGTGTGCACGCAGCAGCGAAGGGGCGGGAACTGGGTAAGCAGGCCGAAGCGCGCTGGCAGCGCGAATTCGAAAGCGCGCAGGTCCGGGCGAAGGGCGGCCGCGAGGTCGGAGAGTTATCATATCTCTCTCTCTCTCTCTCTCTCTCTCTGTGTCTCTCTCTCTCTCACACACACACACACACACACGCACACACACACACAAACGATTCATTCCTCCCTCTCTCTCTCTGTCTCTCTCTCTCTCTCTCACCCACACACACACACACACACACGAACGATTCATTCCGATTTTGCTCAAAAAGTGGCGGTGTATATTTCCACGTTTCACCGGAAGATTCATTCCGTTTTCTCTCTCTCTCTCTCTCTCTCTCTC